TTTTGTTTGATCTTCTTACAGAGGTTCTGATTACCTGGTTATTTTAACCTTCCCAGATTCTTTTAGCAAATGTTCCATGGCTAACAGCAGACGAATTATCTGAGAGCTTTCACACACTAATGAATTACAGCATCACCAGCGCAACCTCAACATTTGAATTTTACCCCCGCCTCCATGATAATGGCCTTGTCCCAAGCATTGCTTTATACAGTCCTATCTCCTCTGTTTACAGTAGTCCAAGAAACCTATCAGTGGCAAAACATTAATAAAGCAGTGACACAAGCTGAAATAACAGGTAATACTTCAGCAGCTCTTTCAAGTCTTCTAGCAGGGTTGGATTTCACTGAGGTTCTCTGTTGTGGAAGGAAGCTGAGCATGACAGATAAAGGAATCCCTGTTACTTGTGTGACCCTTAGACCAGAAAAGCTGTAATCACTACTGTATTTGGACCCATAATCTCCCCTTCCTGTTGCCCTTCCCATGGTCAGATTAACTTTCCAGAACCTGAAGTTCCTGGTATTCTGGGCCACAGCCACTTTTCTTTCCTGAATATGGTTACTTGATTTCAATCATGATTGTTGGACACTACTTACCCAAATAGTGAGAAATTGGTGAGTGCTCTGTGAGAGGAAATTTGTGATGGCAATAGTAATGATAACAGCAATAATAATATTCTATTGATGATACAACAAAGTTTAGTGTGGTCCTATGCATATATATACTGTATATTCCGATATAAGTCCCGAGTAAAGTGGGCGAGGAATTGCAGTCTTGGTTTTCCATGAGTGGGACACTCTAGAACAATAGTGTGCTAATGAGATGTGGAGCATGACAATGTAAGATCCAGGATCCTCAGTCTGGGAAGTGCCCAGATAAGTGTGGATTGGGGCAAAGTCAATGACTGTGAACAAGTGGCAAGGAAGGTGCTTGCTGCTGGCCACGTTTAAAAAAACAGGGCAGTGATGGTAAAACAGACAAGAATAAGAGACAGCCATGTTAAGAGGGCTTAGAGTCATAGAAGTCACCTGATTATTGTTCTGGAGATTACTAAATAGTATTTACTTGAAAAGATGCACACAAAGCATAAGTGGAAGTAAACAAACACTGTTATATACTGTATGCATCGGCTATCTAGAGTAGGGGTTTTCAGACTTTTTCAGGTTGTGGAACCTGTTGGTTAAAAAGCATTTCCTGGAACCCCTGATCAAAATGGAAAACTTTAATGACAAAAATGGGCTGCCTTGAAGTGAACTTTTAAACATCGCTCTTAACCTCTCACAGAACTCTATCAAGTTCTCACAGAACCGTTGGGTTCCACAGAACAGTTTTTAAAATCCTGATCTAAAGAAACTCCGTTATGATTCAACAACATTCAGCACTTTTAAACTCTCAAGTGAAAACTTATTTGCCAAAGGTAGTAAAAAATAATTCTCTGTCATTTTCAGTGGTTCACAAATATGCTTGCTAATTTTTATTCTTCTCCCTGGGTTTTTTTTTGTTTGTTTGTTTTTTGGGGGGGAAGAAAGCATTAAAATTTTTGGGAAGAAAGAATTAAAATTAAAAGTATTATTTTGTAAAATCAGATCAGGGAGCAGAAGGGACACAAAACTTAAAATGAGTATAACAGATGTTCTGTGAAGAATCAAATCCGTACAATTTTGAAATATTGGAGTACATTTATTTACTTTTAAGTCTCTGTGTTTGTGTATGTGTAATAAAATAGTTTTAAAATTTCATAATGTATCTATCTTTGATATGGGTATAGAAAGAATGCTGCATTTCACTTTAAAACTGTAAAAAAAAGTGATTGCATAAAATGAATCCATTTAATTAAACATCTTACAGATCCTACAGGCACAGATTTCTCTTATTTATTTCCAAAATCTGCAGTGCTGTGATTCTCATTAATAATGTTTGGAGGACCATGAAGTGGTAGACTCACACACTGGCTGTAGCAACCCGCCCCCCCAGCCGCACTCATGCTTCACCCCACCGCACCACACACCCCCCCCCCCCACCACCCCCCCCCCCCGCCCACCTGCACTCCGAGGCACTCACCTGCCCAGTCTGCTTGCAAGCCACCTAAGGAAAGGCTTGTTGTGACCGGGACTTGCAACTTCATGCCAGCTTCCCCACTGACTTTGCTTATTGGAAGCCAGCAGGAAGTCGTATATTGTGGTCACATGAAGACCTCACTTAATGACCTGTGATCCTCACTTAATGATAGTAGTGGGGGCTGCTGGGATTGCCATTGCTAAGTGATGCAATCACATTACATTGTGCTTTACGACCACATCGCTTAGCGATAGTAATTCTGGTCCCAATTACCGTTGTTAACCGGGGACTACCTGTAATGAAAAGCACGAAGCCTTTTATTTAACTGGATGGTCCCAGCATATTCCAGATGCATAGATGGTGGCCCATGATTGTGAAAAGTTCAAGAAACAATGTTGTGAAAGATGCAAAATAGGCTTGCTACAGAGATCGTTATACATTCACCACTGATAAGTGTTTGTCTCAGTCAGGAGATGTACTACGGGTCATGCAAGTTTGGTGCAAGGCAGATCTGGGGTTAAGGTTAACAAGATTCCTAGTTTTTTTCTTTTTGCCTATATTTCTTTACCTCATTTTTAGGCATAAAATATTTAGACCTATAAATATACCATGAAATTAAATGTGAATGTGCCAGGCCTAGAGAAAAGAACCACACTCATGTTCCTTTAAAAAGGAAAACAAAAGACAATTTCAGCCCATTTCAAACCATGTGAATTGATAATAATTGCAAACATTTTTTTAAAAAAGAAAACATGAAGAATGTACTTGTACACAATAAAATTCAAAGAAATTTGAGCAAATTGTTTAAAAACTTATTTCCATTTTGTAGAAAGCAACCCAGTTTGTTCACATTAGAAATGTCAGTGTGTCAGCTAAAGTCTGAAGAAGTGGTAATGGGCCCTTTGGTTTTTTTTCTGTATAATTTTTTATTAAGAGTTTTGAAAAGAAGATTAAAAACTAACAAGAACTAATATAAAGAAAAGACAAAAAGGAAAAGACAAAAAAGAAAAAGACAAAAAGTGCAAAAAGAATAAAAAGAAATAGAAAGAAGTAGCTTCTGATTTTCTTCACAGCAAATATAAGTACAATTACAAAATTATCTCTTACTCTATGGTTACAAAAAGAAAAGCTCTCTCTTTTCTATTATTTATTTTTTCTAATCATCAAAGCCATAAATTATATTTCATGCAAAAAATCTGTAAGGGGTTTCCAGTCAGCAAAATACATAGATATTGTCTTTTCTCTAATCAAGGAAAAACAATTATTTTTTAATATTTTTTTTATCCTGCCTTTATTTTATAAATAACTCAAGACAGTGAACATACCTGATACTCTTTCCTTCTTCTATTTTTCTCACAACAACAACCCTGCGAGGTGAGTTAAGTTGAGAGAGTGACTGACCCAAAGTCACCCAGGTGGCTTTCATGCTTAAGGTGGGAGTAGAACTCACAGTCTCCTGATTTCTAGCCTGGTGTCTTAACCACTAGACCAAACTGGCTATTCCAAATTCCTTCTCTCTCAGTTCCAATAGAGCCAGATTATCTAATTTTCTTTCCAACTCTGTAACTTCTGTCTTACTCTCTAAAATTCCACTTTGTCATTTGTTTTACCTCTCCAGATGCTTGTTTTATAGTTTTCCATCTTTTTAACTTCTTCTTTCATCTCCTCTTTAATCTTTACAAGTCTTTCATCCATTACTTTTTCAAAAGCTGCTAATTTGTTGCCTGTTTGTTCAAATAATTTCTGAAGCAAATCTGCTGTAACTGTTCTCTCTGCAGGTGGCTATAATGATCCTCTTCACCCCTCTCTTGCTGCTTTTCTAGTGGTTGATATTATAATCCAAAAAGGAAAGTGTCTCAAACAAAGGAAAAGCAAAAGGCAAGCTTCCCCCCCCCCTTTCATCTTTCTGTGCCTTTGACACTTTTGTCTCTAATGGCACTCCATAGTTTCAAGCTACAACCTAAGTCACATCACATTAGCAACAAAGCATCACAGTCTGGGTCATATTTACCTCTATCTTTTGTTATGTAGAATCTGCCAATTACAGGCATTCTTTAATAGTAAACACAGGGCATTCCCATTAAGGTCTGGTCCCTTTGTCTAGTTTAGTTCAAGTTTATGCAAAAGCACTTTCATCAAAAATAAAAGTAATAAAAATAGAAAAATATCTGTCCCTTTTATCTGCTTTAAACTTTCTTAAATCATCTCTTTGTTAAGATTTATGTGAAGAATTTTTGAATCTTTAAATCCTTAAAGTCTCTTTTTAATTTTGTAATCCAGAAAAAAAGTTAAACTCACCAAAAGGAATCTTATCTTTGCCACAAAGGAAATCTCTCTTTATCTGTAGCTTAATTACTTCCGAAAGTGGTTAAGAAATGAGATGGCTAAACTTTTTGTCCATATAAGCTACATTATGGTTGTGAGCATAGATGGAATCCCGCGACTCCTAGCCACTTGACTCCCAAGCTGACTGCAAAAACTTCCATTTCTGCAGTTTACTCATGAGGAGCAGTCATCCGGAGTACAAGTGGGTTATCTCACAATCTCTCTTTGATCTGGAGGGGTTTCACTAGCCGGTGTCCTCCCTCCAGCCAGTGTTCTCAGCCATAATGTCTCTCTGTGCCTCCAGAGATGTCAGCCATAATCCTCACCAGAAGTTCCCAGAAGTACTAATGAACATTTTGCAGGCATCTTCTGTTCAAAACATATTACAGGAGCTGTCTTCTTTCCAACAATCTCTGTGCTTCTTTCTGACTTGAATCTATGTGTGTATTTGTATACAGTGGAATGAATCGCTACAGATATTTCATCTTCAACCAGAGAAACATGGTGGTATTGGGGCTATTCCAGATAGCTTGTGCTACAGTTTGTACCATCAGTGGATTAATAGATGGTGCTTTCAGAAAGGAATCAGCACTGAGTAAATCTAAGATACCCATTTGGGCTGGAATGGTAAGCTACATTTTCTATCCTCCCTCCCAGAATTTATTAAGAATTTGTTATCAGTTCCAGGGAACTTGCTGTTTCTTACTCCACATTCAGGCAAATATGACCTAAATTTCACAGTAAGATGTATAGCTAAGTACGTAGTGTTTCAAGTGTCAATTATAAAGAAGAAAATCTCAGTCATAATTTTTCTACTTGCTCTAGAATGGCAGGTTGTTGCTTTCTAGGTTCCAAGATGTGTAGGTGATTTGTAGGGTTTCTTGTATAATATGTAGATATATAATAAACATCTTGCTAAGTGGGTTTCTGGGGTTTCCGAACATTGGATGTTTCTGAACATTGGAAGTTTCTACCAGCATCTCTCACTGATAACCTTGGTGCCTAGACTGCTTATTTCACCCATCTAATATGTGCAAGTATTTGCTTTGGTAGTAGCTGATACAAAGAAAGAATGTGAGCATATGAAAAACTCTACTGAATCCAGCTATAGGCCCATCTAGTCCAGCATTCTGTGGGGAGCTCATGCAGGACAGTGAATGATCCCTTCCACTACTGCTTGCCAATAACCAGGATTCAAGACATGTTACAGGAGGCAGTAAACAGCGATAAAAATAATAGTTCATGACAGTCTGATCCTCCATGAACCTATCCAGGGTTCTTTTAAAACCATCCCAATGGTCTGCTATTAGCACAACTCTGGTGGCAAATTCTAATGTGGCATGTGGTGTCTGCCTTATTTCAGCTGTTGGAACTGCCCATTTAAATAAACTTCTAGTTTTAATTTCTGAGTCCTATATGAAAAGTGAGCTCTGAATGGGCATAAAGAAATTGATTATTTAAAAAAATGTTATTTCTTAGGGTCAACAGAAGAGAATTTAATTTAAGTCAATATAATTTAACTTTAATGGGGATCGATGTGTGGGCATTTGTGTTTGAGCTCGCTGCCTACCTCTGTCCTGGCCTGTGGTCTTGAGGTATTTCCTTGTCTCCATTTAGCTCATTATTTTTTCCAAAGGGCAGCTTAAAATTAGGACAGGAGAGTAACAAAATTTGCTAAACTTTGTCACTAGTATCTGATTTTTAAAAATAGTATCCCATGTATAAAACAAGCTTGACTCCTAGAGACTTCATAAACACGTCAATGAAGTTTTCTTGGCAACAGTATGGAAATTATTTTTGTTACATTCTCCTGTAGATGTTTTTTTTTCAATTTCCAGTCTAGCCTGCAGCCCTCCCACTCAACCAGCGTACTAACCAGACATGACCCTCCTTAACCTCCAAGCCCAAGAAAGGGCAGCAAGGTGTTGGTACATCTGTCCATGGTCCTACTCCAATCAGCCAAGAGGGCTATAGATAATTCTAAATACGGAGATTGTCTGTAGTTCCCTTTGCTGATAAAGTACCTTCCATGGATGGAGGAAGAGCTTTGAGGGGCTGCTAAGAAAATTAGGACTTTCCATCACTGTACAAATAGCTCATAAGAGTGTTTCTGGTTGACCTATATCTTAGTGGAACTAAAGATTCTGACTTTTTTATGTGATGAAATTAACCACAGTACAACTTTACATTCATGGTTTTTTACTTTGTCCCCCTGCCCTCCCTCTCCCCTACTTTCTGTTTCATAGTTTATGAGCATTCCTGGAATTATGGCTTTATATTCATCTCAAAAAAAAAATCCAATTCTGGTGAGTTCCTATATTGTTTATTTGTTTAAGAGCAGATTTCAAAAGACAAATGAATGTTTAATGTGTTATAATTGTAATAATAATAATAATAATAATAATAATAATAATAATAATAATATAATAATAATTTATCAATCTTGCATACCACCAAAATCTCAAAGATTCTGGGTGGCTCACAACAATCAAACAAAGAAATTACAATCAAATCAATAAAATGTAATAGATAAAGATAAAAGATGGTGCACACGATGACGCGAAGGGTAACCCTCTCCCTCACCAAAGGCTTGGGTGAAGAGCCATTTAGCTTTTATTTTTACCATGTATTTTAGTGGTTTATATTCCCTAAACAACTTTCTATGTGATTCCTTCAGTGCACTTCACATAGAATCAAATATATCTATATCATGGCCAGTTCATATTCAGATATGGTGTGAAGATACATTTCATTTGTCTTCCTTGAGGAAAATAAATAAATCAAATCAAATCTTTTGTTTTCTGTGTCCTTTGCACAGGTGAATGCCATGATAATTACTTCTGTATTATCCTGTTTCACCACTTTAACTGTAATCATTTATGCCTCTATGACATTAGAGTATGGTGAAAAATATGAGGGGTCCAATAATGTGTCCTTTAATCACCCAGCTATCGTAAGTAGCATACTTTGTGTCAAATATTCTCCATTAAATTCCTGTTCTTTTATAAACATTGCATGTTATTCTAGTTCATGCTCCTAGTGCCAATCCAGTCTTACTCTGGTTCCATTAGATTATTTGGACTACAGGTCCTGTAATCACAGCCAGTGCATGATAGACGCTGAAATCTAACCTGTTTGGAAGGCATCAGTTTGAAAGATCTCCTTTAAACTCTGGGGTGTACAATGCAAATCCAAGTATTAGTATCATGCTATGTTACCAAATGGTATACAGTGCTCTGGGGAGGTCAGGGCGGATTACACTATGCAGGTGGTGACGGGGAAGGGGTGTTATGATGGAAGTCAGAGGGTGGGCCGTTCTTGGGGAAGACACCCCTGGTGTTTAGTATCGGTGGTGTGTTCCTGCCCTCTGGACTCAGACCCAGGCCCTGGACAGCAGACCTGTGGAGACCCTGGCTTTTGGCTGCTGCTTCTTAACACCAGGTCAGTCAACAACAAGGCCCCCCTTACTGTATATGTGAATTGATCACTGAGGAGTGGGCCAACCTGGCATGTATCACTGAGACCTGGATGGGCCCTGAAGGGGGAGTGCCCCTTTCAGAAATGTGCCCAGCTGAGTTTATGGTTTGGCACCAGCTGAGACCCCAGGGTAGGGGAAGAGGGGTAGCGGTTGTCAACAGAGAATTTCTGTTGGCCTTCAGGGGCACTGCTCCACAAGTGGCCAGCTGTGAGACCCTGTTTCTGAAGTTCGGTTCACAAGCACAGTTAGGATTGTTGTTACTGTACCAGCCTCCCTGTTGCATAGCAACTTCCCTGCCTGAGCTGCTGGAGGCTGTCGCAGGGCTGGCAGTGGAGTTCCCCAGACTGATGGTCCTGGGGAACTTCAATCTGCTGTCCCTGGGGCGTGCCTCAGAGGCAGCTCAGGAGTTCATAGCTACCATGGCCTGTCCCAGATTATCTGTGACCCGACTCTGGACAGTGGTCTCACACCAGACTTGCTTTTCTTGTCAGAGCAGTGGTAATGTGATCTGAAGGAGGAATTACATCTGTCCCCCTTGTCATGGTCAGATCATGTCCTGGT